TATATATATGCTGGTTCTTTTGACTCTTCTATATGCCCATATTCTGTATGAAGATCTCTTACTTATTCTTTTGTAATCTCTATATTATATATATATAATGGGCCAAAGAGCCCAAGGATATCGTAGTTCACCACTATGGGGCAAATTAATGTGTGATTTTTTTTTTTATTTTTCTTTCCCCGTCTCTTTATTTTTCTTTCTCTAGGCCCTACTGCTCCGATCATATTGGATTCAACATCCTAAGAGGTTCGACGAGCGTGAAACATGCTACCAATAAGGAGGGGATCGACATCAACAAGGAAAATACATCTCAGAGGCACTCATAACTGGGAGTAGTTAAGAAGTTCATGATACATCATATATGGAAATGGAAATGTCATTTCCGTCATCTTTTTAGAGGTTTTGGCTAGGTAGCGAGTGCCGCAAAATGGATGTCTGGATCCCAACGATTAAAATGAGTCGACAGACTGTACCTATGCACCACTCGGTCAATTCTGAGCGGCTGACACCTCATCCAGTAAGTAAAAGGAGTGTTCACAACTTATTTTGTGCTATGACACAAATTTCTCTAACGTTATCCCTGATTTAACTAACGCCCGGGAAACTCAACTCCAAGTAAGCGAACAAGATGTTAATAACAAAAGGCTTCCCTCCGAAGAGAGGACATGAAAAAAGACTTTTCGGGGCGAGCAAATGAAAGAGAAAAGACTCATTTTCGAGGTGAGCAAGCAAAAAACTTCACTATGAGTGAGCAACTGATGACCCAGCCTAGCCAATGGGATGGGTGAAGACTAAAACTCAAGTTGGATGATATCACGACTGACTATTTGACAAGAAGTCGGGTCACCAGTGAATATAGACCACCAAATCAACACAGGCAAATACCTCGTTATAGCACCGACCAAAGAGTAGATTAGCAAAAAAAAAAAAAAATGTTTCGGAGCCAGGTAGAAAAGACAAAAGAAGCTAGAACGGAGCACTGAGAGCGCTTAAGCAATAAATATCTCATTATTAATTAGCTCATTATTATGGGTTATATAGACACAAATATCTACACATGGTATAGGGTTGGACATTCATGCATACATGCTCTAAGCACTCTAAAAAACTTTTAAGAATTTTAGCAATGTTAGTGCCAAAGTTGAAGCAATTCTCAGAGCTCTTCATTATCTTCATTTGTTTGACTCCTACGTGCTATGTGAACGTAAGTTCACACATGTTCTAATCTTTTTAAATTTTAATCAAGCACAATTCTCAATACATTTTGGATGAAATAATTATAAATTCAGGTTTGCAATCATTTAAGTTTCGACTTTAATAAATTTATAGTGAGACTAAACTTCTAAATGAAACTGTACATGTATAATTTGTTGTCATGAGCTACTACCTAGTCAACAAACTCCCTCCTAATCAACAACATATGTTGAGTCTTCACAAGGCATGTGAGGGGAACTTTCCTTCATAAGGCATGGCTAGCACACTATGCTCATTAAGCAGATCCACAAAAAATATTTCGTTGGACTGGCCTTACGTACTGACCTTTCGAGTTTACCTTTCCATTAAGTCTCTTCTCTGATGTGCTGAAGTGTTAGCTATTGTGTCCCCATTAAGTGGAATCAGTCTCGCATCTCTCTTCGTCGAGTTCACCAAGTTCAAATCCATTGGGATCAACAAATCATCGAAGTAACGATTATCGTTAAATGGTTGTCATACATTTATGTTTATTTATGAGCTGTTTGATACTCACGCCACCACCCTTCCCTGACATGTCATTATCAGATATCGATTATACGGTGGCGGTTATCTTTATTCTGGAGGGTGCAAGGGATGGAGCCACATGAAAAAAGATGAATAGACACTCTATCCCATCTTCAAGGTCCTCTTTAATATAGAAGAAAAGAAATAGTAAAAGTTTGATATATTATAACTATTTAAATTTTGATGAATGTAAAGATTAATCAATTTTCAATGTAGCACACAATTTAATTACTGACCTCATTGTACTAATCATTGCTCACTATCGCCACCTCCTATTTTTACCGCTAGCCATTGCCATTGCCAGTTGGCCCACAACTAGCCGCCAGCCACCACCAACCATCGAGAGTCATTTTCTGCATCCATAGTAAAACATTATTTGAGTTAATCTTTTTTTTCCCTAGAAAGTTGAGCTTAAAATACAACATGCACAATTCAAAATTGTGAGTTCACCGTGAGAAAATAAACTCTCAAGTCTCAACTACTATGTTTGAGCTAGTGCGTTTTTCAAAAAAGTTAAGCCCAAAGGATAACATGCCTGATTTAAATTCTTACCCCATGATGAGAAACTATGTCATTGGTAAGTACTTAATTAATTTTACTTACAATTTATTTGGGGTGGTTGCAAATTTTTTAAAAAATAATCATAAAGATGTAGAAGAGAAAATAATTTTATAGACAATGAAAATCAACGAGATATATATATGTTTTTTTACAAAAAATCATACAACTATCTCATAAAAAAACGAAATGCAAAATAAAAAGAAACAACCATGAGAGATCCTTAAAATAAAGCAATTACTTTTTATATTTTTATTTACAATCAAATAATATTAATTATAATTTATTTATTTTGCACTGTCGTTAAATGGTCTCTTCGTAAGAAAATGTGGCGCTTGATCTTGTTTTTACCTCAGGATTGAAACCTCGAATGACAAACATTTAACTTACCAACAAGTCAAAAAATATTTAAGTACTTATAGAATTGTGTGCGTATAAAAATTATTTAAAGAATATTAGAAGATTTTGTTATTTTTATTGGGGATAATACCTAAATAAACTAACAAAATTGGAAAACAAATGAGATATATATTATTGAAAGATTATTGAGTTGTTATTAGAGGTAATACTCCAATAAATTTTTAATAACTCCTAATAATGAGTTATTCAGGGACTTTGCCTCCACCAGCTCAGACCTGCAGTCTGCAGACCGCAGGGGTGGTTTGGGCGCACGCTAGCCAGTGGTAGAGGAGCAGATTCTTTCCTTTATATCTGCGCGCTTTAACTTTCCCTCCGCATGATCTGCGTCTCTCTCTCCCCCTCTTTCACTCTCTTTCCCCGTCACTATCGCTCGCTCCGCCACTCGCCGGCGGTTTCAGATGCGAGTAGGAAAGGCAAGCAATCAATCCATGTCAAGCCGAGTAATGCTCTTTCGGTCGCGGTCATCGAATTTGTTTTGTTCCGTTTTCACGCGGTTTTTTCTGCCACTGTGCCGATTCTTCTCCCGAACGTTAGAGGGTTCGTGAGATTTCGTTGATGGTTTAGAATTAATAGTGGCATGGTTCCTTGGTTTTTGGTCGGTCAAATAATAGCTTCAATTGTTGTGGGATACGATTGAATCAGCATCGAGAGGTGAGCTCTGCACTTATTCTTATTAGTATTATTTTTTGTTATTAACTGGCATGTCGGTAAATTGCCTAAATTCTGGATTCAAGATCTTGAAATGTCTTGTTCGGTCTCGCGTTTCTTGCCGATCTTATGCATTTTACTTGGTTTCGGACTAAGTTGATCGGTATAATTTATGATGAAGTGGTTGATTGATAATATGTTTAAGCTAAGGTTTCCCGAATTGCTTTTTATCTTGTTTTGGGATTGCAGGATACTTGATCTAGTTCAATGTTTTAAAACAATTTCGTCTTAGAGAATGCAAATTCGACTTGCCAGCATTATCATCCAAAGTCAATTTTGTGTTATTTTTATGGCCCATGTTTTAAGAAGAACTGAGGCGAGAATGTTTCTGTGAGGTCTTTCGTACTAAGTTAATATTAATCATATTTTAATTTAATAATAATCTTTGTAATAGCTTTACAAAATCTAAGAAGTGGAAATTTGATTTTAAGTACTCATCAGTTAATTTTTGATTTCTCCATTCCTTCAATTTTTTTTCGGGCAGTGAGTGTAATGCCTCTCAGTGCGGTTTACTTGGTTCATCTCACATGAGGTTTGTTTGCAGGCTGAATAGAAGCACAATGGATTCTTGCTTTATTTTTTGATTGATGCACTTGCTGCTTAACTATTAGTAAGCGAAGGTAGGAAGGATGTCACAAGCTGAAGAACTGCCTCCAGTTGCAATGAAGCGGCCAGCACTTGCTCCGAAGGCTCTCATACATCAGAAGTTCGGTAAGCAAGCGTCCTACAGGATTGAAGAGGTGACGCAGCCTGTTGAGAACAGTTGCCCTGGTTTGGCTTTGGCACAGCAGATTCGGACTTTATATAGATGCTATTTGGATCTTCCAGAGCTGTCTGTTATTTCAGACCCATTACCCAAAAAGAAGGACGCTGAACATGCGGCTGCAAAAATTGCTATAGAGAAGGTCAGGATTTATTTTATCGGGTTTCATTTCTGATTTGTTACCACTAATTTGGTTTTTCATTTTTCGCTTTATGTTATGCTTAACAAGAAACAAATAAATGGTGCATAATATTCAATTTTGACCAATTTTCTGAAGAAGAATTCTGCATCCATTCCCAGGAGGTTCAAGTGCGTCAACCACAATTGTGGGGGGACGACAGTCCTGATTAATCAAAGTTTATTAATTTGAATTCTGTAGAAAAGGGTAATTATTTACTGGAGATCAGAAGATTACCATGAAGTTTGTTCATTTTGACAGTTCTAGATCAGTTTTGGTCTGAACATTTTTAAATTAATCCAAAGTTCTAATTTCAGCAATTTTCAAGGAGTTTTGTTCTATTGTCAACTAGATCGTTCGGTCTTTATTAAAACTCGGATTAAAAATTATTTTCGTCATTACCAAACATCTGCTAGTTGTCCGCTATATGAGGCTTTATTGCTTTATTGCTGTCATCTCATCTGAATTTTTTTCTCCTTACTTTAGTTTACTTATTTTCTTGTGAAATCATATGTGGTTATCAACCAAAATATCCTAATAAGAAGAAAGGCTAAATAAAGTAAAAGGGGAAGATTGTCAGAGTAAATGTCCCAGAGGATGATGCCAGCATTCGTTGCCGAGATCCATTGGTTTGCTTTCATTCATAGAAGGTTCCTCCCCTTACAAATTCTAGTTCATTAGAGGAGATTATTGTTTATTGCTAATAGCTGAATTATAAAAAGTTTGGGAGGAGCTGGAAAATGGGTAGTGAAGGGGAAGGACGGGGTGTATGAATTAAATGGCGGCATTTTGTATGTGATATGAAATATTTGGGTGGCATAAATGTAAAAAAGCGAAGTATAGGTATTAGATATGTATATACAGAGGAATTTGGTGATACGTTCTTAAAATTTTAAAGAAAAAAATTGAGAAGCAACTTTACATAATAAAGCCAAGCACAAAATATGCTGAAAGTCTTAAATCATCAAAGTCAAATAAATCTGAACTTGCTCATTAAAAAATAAGTCATCACTGAATATTAAAATATTTATGTTGACACTTATATTTATTGTCACTGATATATCAAGACACTTAAAAATTTGAGTGTAATTTTATGATTTTGGTCATTATAAGGTTGTTGAGGATGTTTAAATACTTCACATTGAACAATATAAAGTACGAGCTAATATTGTTTCTCATTAATTTCAAATATTGTATAAAAGGCACTTTTGCTGAAGGCGAAGCACTCACCTAGGCTTAGTGTGAGTTGAGGTGAGGCCATGGAGCTTCACACACTGCTAGGCAGTCCCAATTATTAAGGTACATTCAATAAAACCTATTATATTGCAATGATAAGTGGTGAAGTGAGCCCTTTTCCTTTATTTGAAGGATGAGTGTTAATGTTATTAAATGCTGAAATTGAGTTAATTTTTTAATTTTGTGATGATAACTCGATATAAGATGATGTGAAAGTAACATTTAGATTTAGAGAAACAGTTGTGCACCTTTGTAAACAAGTTGATCAAACGTGTGTGTAAGGGCTCAAATTTTAGAATAGTTTTTAAGATGAAAGTTTGAGTCCAAGAAAAGAACCGAAGCGATGGATTGTTGGATATCCAGTGATTGAAACAAAATCTTGGGCGATAACAAGTTTGGAATAGAAAGCTCTTAAAATTATATTATCCCTAAGCTATTTAGCATACAGACTGTAGTAGTTTAATTGTTTTTGTTTAAAATGAGAATATTTTTTGATTTGAAATGTAATGGAACTTGATCGTTCATTGTTTTTTCCATCATAATTAAATTTGGTGATTGTGGTTTTAACTTGCCTTTTATTTTGCCTGAGGTAATGTTATGGCAATTTTATTTTGTTTTTTCCCAGAGACAAGCCTCAGGCGAGTCACGAAAATGTCTTTTATAACATCATCTTTGGGGACAATTTATAGTTTTATCAACATATTGCTAACAAATTGTAGAAGCTCGATTGACCCAACAAAGGGTCAAAGAACCCTGCTTAGTGTTGACATGGATGGGGAATATATTTTGAAACTTTTTTTTTTAATTGGGTTTTGAGGTACTGCAGTTAGTAATTGCAGTAGAAAATATTCACTTAATGACCAAGTTCATCTTCTCTTAATTGTAAATTAATAAGCTTATACGTGGGAGGTCATATATTGTCATCATGATGTTATGCTTTGAATTTGAATCTTTCATTGCAGACGAGTATAATTTGACTTTTCAAAAGTTTTTCAGAAAAATAGTCATGATTATTTGTTTGCGTGCACATATTTTTACACTTGTGCTTGCGAATGCGTGTTTGACAGTCTGTCCATGTTATAGTTTATGTTTAATATTACCTAAGCACGTGCATAAGCAAGTACTAGTGAATACATCTTTTTTTGTTCGTGTGGTTACTTTGTTGATGGTTTTGTTAAATGTTCAGACCGATTAATGAAACAACCTAACTTGATACATGGAACCTGAAATGGATTTTCTTTCAATTATCAGGCCTGATTAACAACCCTAGCTGCCCAGATTGTTCCTTCTGGGGTTTTTGTGTCTCATAAAATAATCATTCTCATGGGTGGTCGTGTTAGTGATCACTGTTGGAAAAAAAATAGAAACACTTTTTTTTCTTAAAAAAGGTATAAAAATCTCCCAAATTCTTAAGTCTGACATTGCATTTTTTTTCTGAGGCAGTACTGAAACCCACATATGATTTGACTGGGACTGGAATTTCTTCTAAAGATACATTAACTTTTATATTTAGGAGTTTTGGAATGCACCCCCATTTTACTCTTCTATTTAAATTTGATATTTCTAGCGATTGAGAAATGTGCTAGGGATGGGTAAATGGAACGGTCCTTACTATGCTTTGCTTTTCGTAGCTTCTGTATATTATTTTATTTACTTAAAATGCTTTGAGAGTTTGAGAGTAAGAAGACATGAACATGACTCCTACATATAATCACACAAACACACACACACACACTCACACACACACACACACACATATATATATATATGTAAACCATCTTAACCATCTCTAGTTTGGAAATGTTTCTATGTCCCTGATTTTAGAACATTCAATATGTCAAACTTTGTTAATGAATATAAATTTCCGGTTCCTTTCATTGATCTTTTGATTAAAGTTGGGCAATTGCCGGCCACGAATTGTTATAGGATCAATTTGTGCATCTTTGTGATACGATTCAAAGTTAAAATCGACACTTTTTTCTAGAAAAATTAAGGGAAACACAATATTTTTTCAATAAATAAGACAACTCAATAAGAATACAATGATAAACACCTACAATTTGAGAGGCAGACAATCACTTCCAATTCTTATAATTTGCGAGATAAGAAATTTCTCCCAAACCCTAGACTTAAAATTCACAACTCAATCTCATGCATAAGCCTAATCCTAGAAATAACAAGGCTATTTAGACATAATAATAATAATAATAATAATAATAAAAGACTAAATTGGCCTTACGCATACAAAAGACAAATTTGCCCTTAGGCTAGGCGCCAATGTAAAACTATGCTAGCCACGAGTCAAGGGTACAACTCTTGAATTCTGTCCGCTTTTGCTAGAAGAAGAAAGGACTTGCATAAAATAGAGAGTCTCAAGTTCTAGGATCTACCTTGATTATGAATATTGAAGTTGATGCTCAGACAACCATTGATCATAAAACTTACATAAAACGGGGATAACAATAGATGTAGTATTTACACAAAAATGGATAAGGAATGATTCATTATGCCAACCCAAAATAGTTGGAGTAAGGCTATGGTTGATGATGATTGATGAAAATGGTATCTTTGCAAATTTTGAAAGGAAATAAATAAGCAAAAGGAAAGAAATACAACATAATAAGAAAAAAAAAACAAACGACATTAAATCTAAAATAGAAAATTCAGAATTACACATTTACCCTCAAACTGGGTCATAGAAGTTGCAGGGACTCGGATTGGTCTTTAAATTAGTGAAAACTATAAGGAGGTAGAAATTTAGTGAAAACATCAACAACTTGATGAGTTGGAATGTAGATCATGTGAATAACTGTACATTGACCTTCTCATAGATAAAATATTTATCAATCTCAACTTGCTTAGTCCTGTCACGATGTAGAGGATTCTTTGCAGTACTAATGGTAGCTTAGCTGTCACATGATATCTTTTGTGTGATTGACCGTGAAGTATTCCAACATATTTATTAACCTTTGGATCCTCTTTCATTCACGGATTATCAAAGCAAGAACCCGATACTTAGATTCTGCACTAATTCTAGAGACTACTGCTTGCTGCTTGCTCCTTCATATGAAAAGATTTCCTCAGATATAGGAACAATACTCAGAGATGGATCTTCTGTTCGTGAGTTCTCTTGCCCAGCTAGCATCAGTGTAAACCCTTACCTCCATGTTGTCAGATTTCTTAAACAATAATATTCTGTCAGGGGTCTTCTTAAGAAATCTTGATATTCTGTAAACCATTTCCAAATGTATTTCATTTGAATTATTCATGTGTTGGTTCACTATGCCGACGGAGTAAGCGATATTAGATCTAGTGTTTGATAAGCAGATAAGTTTACACACCAATCAATGATATGTTTTTTTCCACTGGTATTTTTTCTCCCATAAATTTTATTTTTATTTGAAATCCATATGAGTCTTAGTAGATTTTTACCTCAACATTTCTGCTTCTTTTAATCAGTATAGGATGTACTTTCTTTGGGATATCAAAATTCCCATTTTGGACCTGGCCACATCCACGCCCATAAAATACCTCATCGCTCATAGATTCACAATTTTAATTTTATTAGTAATAATTTCATTAATGTTCCAAATCTCTTTTTAATCCTGTCAGGATCATATCATCTACATGGTCAATGAGTGTATCTTTCTTAAACTCTTTGCAAATGCTTTATGAACAATGTGTGTTTGCTTGGCATTGGATGTATCAATTATATTTCATTTACTTGG